AGAAGAAGAAGAAGAAGAAGAAGAAGAAGAAGAAGAAGAAGAAGAAGAAGAAGAAGAAGAAGAAGAAGAAGAAGAAGAAGAAGAAGAAGAAAAACAGCAGAGGAAGGGAAGGGAATGAGGGTGATTTCCCTCGCCCTGTGCCCACTGTTTCTTGGCCTCTGCCTTCTCATTAGGGCAGCATGTCTGGACAAATGGCGCTCTTCCACCTGCACACTGTGTGGTCCAGACAAGAGTGGCACCTCCCTTATTGTACAGTAAAAGTAATGAACTCAGAGAACTGAGTACAGAGAGCGGATGGAATGAGGCCTGTTGCACGTGGAGCAAAGGGAGGGTGCGCTGGGATGGCTAACCTTGTCCCACCCATCCTTCTGCGCCTCTGCTATCTCTGACTCACTCCCCTCCTGCCTCCCCTTTCGGCGACGTGTCATTCTCCCCACCATCACCTCTCACTCTTTCTACGTGTCCTCACCTGGGGCTCACTCGCTGCCCGCGCCCGCCGCTCCAGGCCCCGCCTCGAGCGTGGCGAGCTGCAGACGCACCCGGCGGGAGCCGGAGGCGGACGTCTGGGGCGTGCGGGCGGCTCTGCGCGCTGCGCGGAGACCCGGGGACGCCCGGGGACCGGCGGTGGCGGGCGCCGACCAGCGGCGGGACAGCTTGCGCGCAAGGCGGGCGATCGCCGAGGGCCTCAGGCCGTAGTCGCGCTCGAGCTCCTGGCGCGAGATCTCGATGTTGCCGGTGTACCAGAGGATCCAGCCCAGCAGGCTCAAGAAGACCAGCAGCGCCCCAGAGTAGATGAGCAGGTCCCCGAAGTCGCGGCCACGCACCTGCAGCTGCGCGAACACGCCGGTCAGAAGCGCCGCCATGCCCGCCACGTCCAAGGCTACCGCCAGCAGCAGCGCCATGCGGCAGCGGCCCAGGCCGGTGGCCGGAGCCGGTGAGGGCGCCGGTGGGGGCGAGGCGCCGACCGGTGACGCCTGTGAGCCGCACACCGGTGACACCGCCGCCATGGCGCTCGGTGGCCCGCCGCCGCCTGCTCCCCGAGAGCGTCCCGGGGTGCGGCTGCCCGGGGCGGGGTCAGGGCCCTGCGCCAGGTGTGCCCAATGCCTGCATGGTCACCTGAGCCAGACTGGAGCTCACAGCCAGGTGGCTCAAGTCTGGGAGGGAGCAGCAGCCGGCGCACGACCCTGCCCTGGCGCCAGGTGACTAGGGCCAAGCTTGAAGAAGGCAAAATGGAGTTAGCTAGATGTTGTTGTTTTTTTAAAAATAATTTTTATTAGATATATTCATTTTATCTTATGTGTGTTTCGCCTACATATGTGTGTGTGAGTACACCATGGGCATGCACACTTGGTGCCCACAGAAATCAGAAGAGGTTATTGGATCCACTGGAACTGAGGTTATGGATGATTGTGAACTACCATGTCGGTGCTAAGAATCAGCTCCTCTGTAAGAGTAATAGGTGTTCTTAAACGCTGAACCATCTCTGCAGCCCTAGATGTTGTGATTATTTAGCGCCTGCCTCCTGCGGCCTCCACCTGGCCCATGGTGTACCCAAATGAGGATCTGAACAATCGCTGGGCAGGCTGGGAATGTAGCTAGCCTGGTAAAGCTTAGCATGCACTTGCCAAGCACAGCAGAAAAACATTCTCTGGGGCACAAGATCAGCAGCCAGAACCCCAAAACTCTTGCTCTTTGTGTTCTCCTGTGTTCACTGCAGGGCCGTGTGAACTCAAGGTGGGAAAATGAACCCACTAAGGTCAGGGCTGCGGGCTGCACTAGTCAGATGTGACCCTGACAAAACCCCTACCCTCATGTAGTTCCTAGACACACAATTCCCGAACTTCCCAGGAATGGTGTCCCGAAGGAGGTGGCATGGAAGCTGTGGCTTTTTGTTTGTTTGTTTTGCTTTTTGTTTTTCTTATTTATTTATTTATTTATTTATTTATTTATTATGTATACAGTATTCTTTCTGCGTGTATGCCTGAAGGCCAGAAGAGGGCACCAGACCTCATTACAGATGGTTGCGTGCCACCATGTGGTTGCTGGGAATTGAACTCAGGACCTTTGGAAAAGCAGGCAATGCTCTTAACCGTTGAGCCATCTCTCCAGCCCCATGTTTTTTGTTTTTCGAGATAGGGTTTTTCTATGTATTTGCCCTAGAATTCGCTTTGTAGACCAGGCTGGCCTCGAACTCAGAGATCTGCCTGCTTCTGCCTCCCAAGTGCTGGGATTGAATGTTTGTGCCACTACTACTTGGTGGAAACTGGCTTTTTTATTGATAGATGCGTCTAGAAAACATCCTTTCCTGCTGTGGAAGCTGATCCCTGAAGATGGCTTTGACTTAGTGGATATGGCCAGGGCACTCTGAGGTGGGGGGCCATGTGGAATACTAAGGGAACCAACAGCAGTTACAGGAAACCCCTGCTCCCCTGGAGTGAAGGAAACATCGGGACAGTTCTGTCTAGGTTCTCCCAAGACTGTCTAGTTTCAGAGTTGAAGAAGATTCAGGATGATGGATGGAGGAGGAAGTTAGATGTTCCTTAGTGATGTAGCCACTGTAAAGTGTATTTGCTCCTGTAAGCAGACTCCCACCCATGAGCCTGTAAACAATACGAAGGACACTCCCTGGGACATACACACACACACACACACACCACACACACATACAAATTAACAGCCATGGGAGAAGGGACAAGAGTGTGGGTGTGTGTCTGACTATGACCAAAATACATTATATACACATATGAAAATATATAAACCCACTTTATGCATAATTAATAAATGCTAACAAAACATTAAAAAGACTGTGGAGTAGATTGCTGTGAGCTGCCGGAATTGGCCATATATTGCTGAGGACAGACAGGAGTATTTCTGCATAGACTGAGCCAAGCATGAGATAATAAAGGGTTTTTTTTGTTTGTTTGTTTGTTTGGTTTTTTTTTTTTTTTTGAGACAAGGTTTCTCTGTATAACAGCCCTAGCTGTCCTGGAACTAGCTCTTGTAGATGAGGCTGGCCTCGAACTCACAGAGATCCACTTGACCGGTGAGAGAAGAGGTCTGACAGTGGCCTGCTGGGCACTGGTGCTCTCCTGGGAGACAGTCCTGTGATCATGAAGAAGAGCAGAACCGTCCTGAAGTCTCCATGCCACATCAGTGCTTAAAACAGCCTATACATCCATTTATCATGACGTCCTGTCATGAGGACAGGAGTACAGCTCAGAGCCTAAGATCACTTGCTTTTCTTGCAGAGGACCATGGTTTGGTTCCCAGCACCCACTCACGTGGCAGCTAACAGCTGCCTGTAACTCTAGCTCCAGGAGATTAGATTTCTTTTGGACTGAGGGTTCTTGCAGTTCACATGTGAACACAACACCCCCATACATCATAACTAAAAATAAATAAATCTGGGGCTGGACAGATGACTCAGTTAAGAGTACTGGCTGTTCTTCCAGATGATCCAGAATTTTTTTTTTTTTTTTTTTTGTTTTGTTTTTCGAGGCAGGGTTTTTCTGTAGCTTTGGAGCCTATCCTGGAACTTGCTCTGTTGACCAGGTTGGCCTCGAACTCATGGAGATCCACCTGGAGGACCCAGATTTTATTCCCAGCACCCACGTGATGGTCCACAGCTGTAACTTTTGCCTGGTTCCCTCCTCTGGCCTCTGCAGGCACCAGTCAAACACATAGCCCCCAAACATATATCCAAGCAAAAACAATAAAACACACACACGAACCCAAATCATAAAAACTTATACACGTTACATAAAAAGAAATAAGTAGGGGCTACAGAAATGGCTTGGTTGACTGTAATTTTAGTTCTAGGGGATCTATCACCCTCACACAGACATACAAGCAGATAAAAAAAAACAATGCACATAAAATAAAAAAGAAATAGGCTTTAAAAAAAATCTCTTTTTATAACAGGGAGGGCAACTCAGTTGAATACTTAATACTGAATTCGCCCACGTTTATTTTTCATACGCTTTTATATCCCAATACAAAAGGGCGGGAGAGAAGGCAAAAGACTGCTTTAACGTGACACAAAGGACAACTGGAACAGTTACTTACTTCAGTACTTGAGACATCATGTATTTCCTGAGTAAAGAAAGCAATTGATGTTTTGGGCAAGATATGCAGGGAAAACACCCTAGACCAAGTATCCTGTATCAACCCACTCCCTATGTCAAACCAATTTTTTTTTAAATAAATAAATCTTATAATCAAGTATTAAGCCTGGTGTTATGACGCACTCCTGGTATTCTCAAGGGAGGATCAGCTAGACAAGAGAGCAATAGCCTTTTTCAAAATGTTTATTTAGTGCCCACCATGTGCTAAGTGCTAATTGAACAGACCAGAGGGATGGTGTGAGCCTCTGCTTTTCGGAACCTCTCGGAAAGCCAGTCACTGACCCCCGAAAACTTCCCAACCGCCCACGGCGGGGCAATGTTCCACCGCGAGAAAGCCTCCGGATCTCCAGCCGAAGATTTCCGAAGGTTTCCGAGCGATACGCGAAGGCAACAACCAAGACGACTGGGAGGCGGAACCCAAGAACCGGAGGAAGCTGGATGGCCGGCTTCAGGAGCGCCCGGGGAGGAAGCGGAAATGCGTTACCACTTTAAAGGCGTCGACCCGCCTCTAGCGCTCCTCTTTCCGTCTCCGTCCGCCATAGAAGAGGAGGTGAGTGTGAGTCGTCTCCGTCCCTCGTGGCCGCCATCTCGCGCCTACCGCTTCGGTCTCCAGCCTATTTTCTCTTCTTGTGCCAAGTGCCATTAGCGGCACTCATCGCCGCCGGAAGTGGAGCCTTAGTTTCCCTTCCCCCCCACCTTTCAGTCGCAGCCGCCGTAGTTCGGCTTGCCTCCTTTGGTCGCCGGTTCCTGCCTGAAGGAGCTCTTCATCGTTGTTTCGCGGCGCTCCGGGTTACCCAGGCGACATAGCCTAGCTTGCTTCTCTGCTTCACATCTTTCACGTGCCCCGTTTCCCCGTAGGCGCCGCCATGTCTGCGCATCTGCAATGGATGGTCGTTCGGAACTGCTCCAGTTTCCTGATCAAGAGGAATAAGCAGACGTACAGCACCGTAAGTGGGGCCGGTGTGGGAGAGGCATTCTGGGGTCCTTGGTTGTGGGCCCTTCGCGTGTCTCCCGGCCTGAATTTACCATCTCCTGCATCTCCAGGAACCCAATAATCTGAAAGCCCGTAACTCCTTCCGCTACAACGGGCTGATTCACCGCAAGACAGTGGGAGTGGAGCCCGCGGCCGACGGCAAAGGGGTCGTGGTGGTCATGAAACGCAGATCCGGTGAGCCTTTGCAGACAGGAGGTCTCTTTTCCAGGGCCCAGAGTATCCCTAGTGTTGCCTGGGGAATCTTCTGCCTTGCCAGCCGTGTAAGTCAGAAGTGGAGAAATTAGAAGTGCTTCACGGAGGGAATAGCTCTACGTAGAATCGTGTGGCTTTTAAGGACAGCCCTCTAGACCTCGCTGTCCTGGAACTCTGTAAGCTGGCTTCGAACTCACGGAGCTCGACCTGCCTCCTGAGTGCTGGATTAGTAGCTTGTGCTACTATAGCCCCTGCTGTATCCGGTGTTTAAAGAGAGGGATGGGTTTTCCACAGTCTTCGGTTAAGACTGACCTGTGTTATCCCTTAGTGAGTGTTTTGAATGGGCAGTCATTTGGGTAAGGGTGAGGAGGTTCTGTGTTCCTATCTGGGAGATACACGGACGGACTGACTCCTAGACTCCCCATACCAGGTCAGCGCAAACCAGCTACTTCTTACGTAAGGACCACCATCAACAAGAATGCACGGGCCACCCTGAGCAGCATCAGGCACATGATCCGAAAGAACAAGTACCGCCCCGATCTGCGCATGGTGAGTGATGAAATCTTTAGGGCAGGAGGGTAGCTGGTACTGTGCCTGCTGGAGGGACTGGATGTAGGCCTGGCTGGCTACTTGACTATGATTAGCGGGAACTAGACTGAAGAATCCTGATTTCGGAGCTGGACAGATGGCTCAGAGGTTAAGAGCACTGGCTGCTCTTCCAGAGGTCCTGAGTTCAATTCCCAGCACCCACATGGTGGCTTACAACCATTTGTAATGAGATCTGACGCCCTCTTCTGGTATGCAGGCAGAATCTGCATACATGATAAATAAATACTAAAAAAAAGCCAGGCGCCTTTAAACCCAGCACTTGGGAGGCAGA